AGGGCCAGCCTGGCACCGAGCCAGGACCCCACCACACTCACTTGAGGGAACTGGGAGCCTGGTTGGAGCTCTTGGGTGCGGGGCCCTTCTCGGCCGTGGAGTAGTTGTTGTGCACCATGGTGGTGACGCAGTTGCCCATCGCGCCCTTGTTGCTCCTTGTGTGGAGAGAAGAGAAGAGGAGCGTCAGGACCAGCCCCCTCCCCTCTCCAGGTGCTTTCCCAGGGCAGTTCCTCCCACCCCCAGCCCCAGCAGCCCCTCTCCCACCTGTTGTTGGCAGTGAAGTTGGCAGCCAGCAGCACAGTGGCCTCCTTCCTCCTCATGCCCGAGGGTGGCTCCAGGCCGTGGGAGCTGGAGGGGCCCGGGAATGCCCGGGGCTGGTCATCCTGCCATGGAGTCAGCAGGAATTAGTGCCAGCAAGCACCAAACCCACCTCCTCAAACACCCCCAGGAGCACAGAGCCAACCAAGCCCACCCTGAGCCCGCTGTCCTCACCAGGATGTTCCACGTGGTTTTCTTTTCTGGGGAAGTTTTGCTCAGACTTGCCAGTTTCTTTCTTCCTCCTGCACCGCTCTCAAAGAAGGCCAGGAAGTCTCCTGTCTGCTCCGAGCTTTAGTCAGACCCAGGGAAGGCAGAGAGGAGAGAACAGGGGTTTGGGATAATTCACAGCCACAGGACACACTCTGACTGTGCAGGGCACTTGGATGCACTCCAGTGTGACATGGGGGAGCAAAAGGGTTGGCGAATCCCTACATGGCCAAACATATCTATGAATGACTCATTTTTACACAGAGCTTTGAGCTCCAGGGTGGTGTGCAGTGATAGGGATGAGCACAGACCAACAGGAGAACAGAAAATCCCAGTTCAGAGGGCACCGGGGACAGAGGGAAAACTTTTGTCTCCTCATACAGCCTGGAGAATCCATGAGGGGCTGTTGGAATAGAACAGTGCCTTCCCTTGGAATTAATGGAGTGGCTTTTGCGACAGACACAGAAACATAATTTCCCAAAATAGAAATCCTTCCCTGGGAGGGTGGGCAGGCCCTGGCACAGGTTGCCCAGAGAAGCTGTGGCTGCCCCTGGATCCCTGGAAGTGCCCAAGGCCAGGTTGGACAGGGCTTGGAGCACCCTGGGCTGGTGGAAGGTGTCCCTGCCCATGGCACAGGGTGGGACTGGAGCTTTAAGGTCCCTTCCAACCCAAACCATTCCATGATTCTGCTGAAATCCTAAACAGGGGACCTCCCTTCCAAAAAACCAACCAAATAAAGCCCAGACCTCGGTTTTCCAAAGCCAGGTTTAGGGTGCCTTGGATGTGCACGATGGAGCTCCATGCACATTTTGGAAAGGCTCTGGCTCCCCCACAGACCCAGGGAGGTCACACCCCCAGGACAGACAGACACACATCCCTGGCTGGGCTGTACCTGTGTGTGCTGTTCACCCGCTGGTTCACCTGGGTGGTGCTGTTGGACCTGCGCAGGTTGTTCATCGCCCGGGACCCCGCATCCTCCTGCGGAGCACAGGGAGCAATCCAGCAGCTGTGCTCAGGAGCAGCATGGCCAGGCTCCCTGGCAAGTCAGGCAGCCCAAAATAGGCAGTGGTGTTCCCCTCACCCCCCTCACACAGCCTGGACACGGAGCTCCCGCTCTCCCAGGGCTGCCAAGCTCTCCTTGAGGAGCGGGCAATGACACCTCGCTCTGGCGCTGCTGAGCCAGCAGGAACACGTTCCTTAGCACAAGCTCCCAGGAACCAGGGCACGGGAATGCTGCCAAGGGATTACTCAGCACAGAGCGCAGACTCCTCGCTGCTGGAACCCCACAGAGCCCAGCAAGTACCTGGGGCTCGTTCCCTCTGTGGAAGCCTCGCTCAGCGAGGCCCCGGCAAAGCAGGAACAGGGTGCTCAGCGAGGGGCAGGGTGGGCCTGAAATCCCAGCAGGAGCTTGCAAGAAACGAGGAGTGTCCAGATGGAAACTGGTGCAGGAAGGCAAAGAGAAGGGAGAACGGGGCAGCCTGATGCTCCCTGGGTGCTTTTGTGCCCATTGGAAAGCCCTGCACACAGACCATGAGCCAGGCAGGTGGTGGGGGAACCACACCGAGACACATCCCAGGCACACCCTCCCTGCCCCTGGCAGGGGGTGGGGATGAAGCACTGGGGCTCACCAGAGCGTTCCTCTTGGGTTTGCCATCGGCGGTGACGGACACGGAGCGCGCCACGAGCCTGGCGGGGGAGGCGCTGCCGGGGCGGCGGGACAGCGGGGCTGGCAGTCCCGTCAGCACTAGGTCGGCGACACCAGAGCCCTGCACGGAGGAGCAGCTGCGGGTGCTCTTCATGCTGGATCAGAGGAGGGGCCCTGCAAGCACAGAGCGGAGGATGAAGGCACAGAGCACGCGGGGGCTGCAGCTCCCGCAAACACCGGCACACCGAGCTGGGACCGCTCCCACACAGGACGGGCCTGGAGAGGCTCCAGGTGAACCCCTCAGTGCCTTCACCCCACACTCCCACTGTCCCATGTCCTGCTGACCCATTTATGGGCCGGGATCCCAGCACAGGACAACGGGAGAGAAGAAAAGCCCCATCCAGGCTCTTCCACCCCACACACACCAGGGCTGCCAGGGGAGCACATGGGGGGGTTCAGCCCAACCTGCACCAGGCAGAGACACAGAGGAACCACCGGGGCAGATCCCAGGGATGCTCCCCCCACCCAGTGCTCCCAGTCCCTGCCAATCCCTTCAGAGGTGCCCGTGCCCTGCAGGGGGGCACAGGGAGGGCTGGACCCCCTCCCAGCTCAGGAGGCAGCACATCCCCCTCCCTCTTCCCCTCTACATCCCCCAGCCCCAGCGCTGAGCCAGAAGCTGCCACTGTTCCAGGCAAACACCACATCACTTTATTTCATTGTATTTATTACCCAAACTGCCCCCAAACTCTAAACTCCCTCTCCCGGCAGCCCTGGATTTCCCTCCTCCAGGCTCCACCACAGCTCTTGGCAATGCCTCAGGCTCCACAACACAGAGAAACAAACTGCTCTCATGGAAACCACCGGGCTCCCAGGGGGAAAACACGGCTCAGGCGCAGAGCCCAGGCCCAGCACACCCACCCAGAGCCCCCCGGGCTCCCAGGCCAGACCCCCAAGCCCCTGAGGCCCAGACCCCTCAGGCCTGAAGACCCAGGCCCCACATGCCCCCCCCTCAGGACCCAGGTACAAGCCCTGGTCCCTAAGTTCCCAAATCCCCGATCCCCTCAGGATCACCTTGGTCCCAAGCCCAGGCCTCTCAGCTCCCTGACCTCCCCAAGATCCCCCACTCCCAAGGCCCAGGGCCCCCCAGGAGCCCATCCCAGCTCACAGAGTCCGAGCCAAAGCTTCCAATAGATCCAACCCCCTGGGACAACCGAGGCCTGGACCGCTTCCTGGGATCCCAGAACACCCAGCCCCGGCCCCCCACGGCTCCCCCTTCCATATCCCCAGAGCCCTCCCAGGAGCCCGCAGGACACGCAGCCCCAAAGCCCCAGACCACCAAGAGACCCCCAAATTCCACGTCCCCAAACTCCGAACCCCCGCGGGCCCCAGGCCCCTCCAGGCCCCTCCAACTCCCAACCCCTCAGACCCCAGTCCAGGCCCGCATCCCTCCAAGCCCCCCAGCCCCATCCCGACACGCCGACAGGGATGGGCTACACGCACCCACAGGCGGACGAGCCCCGCGGGGCCGATGTACAGGGCGAGGCCGGGGATGAGGCCGGGGGTCAGGCCGGGGGTCAGGCCGGGGCCGTGTCCCTGTCCCGGCCCCCGCGGGCCCCCCGGGCCGCCATTAACCCCCAGCCCCTCACCCACGGCCGCGTCCGGCCACGCCCACGCGGCTGTGCCCTCGGCCAGCGACCAATGGGGAGGGAGCAGCGGGGCGGACAAAGAGACGTGATTGGCTGAGGTGGGGAAGGGGGAGGGAGATTGGAGATAGGCGGGGTCTGCAAAGGGGGCGGAGCTTGGGGAAGAACCCAGTGAAGGGGGAGAAGGGCGGG